TGCGTATTTAATTTTCAATTATACTGAGGTGAAATCCACTAATTATTTGTGTGCAAGAGTGTGTAGGAAATATTTCCAATAACATGCAGGTGTAGAGCGCGCTAACAAAGACATGACCTACATTATATATGCCTTGTGAAGGCTAGTCTTGATATGCATGCCTCGTGGAGTAGGCTATTAATGCAAAATGTCGAGGGGGATGTGCTTAAGCCCATAAGGGAGTCTCCTGGGGAGGTAACCCAACTTCTGTGATTGGAGATCCCATGAAGGAAGTTCAATGTGGTAGAAACAATCCATATTGCGTGACTCATATAGCACTCATAAAACTATGGAGATATCCTTGAGATATTCTTCTGCTCATCCCTAAGGCAAAAGTGCTATTTTATGTGACGTCAGGAAGGGATTTATCCCTGAATGAGTTTCGAGGTGGGCAAACTCCCACATGGTGCAGGTCACATGTACTCTTGGAGAACTCACCTAAGTGAGAGACGTCGTGAGGCCGCGACTATGAGAATTTGGCTATTCTCTAGTAACTCTCATGAGAATCAAGATGAGCGCCTGGCCATAAATAGCGCTACCCCGCATCCAAGTCTCAACTAATACTATGTGTGGGATATGTTGAAGTTTGGTCAAAGGTGAAGAGTTCAATACTGTGTACACTCAGGTTCCTCAAATGGATACTATCATCACTAAGTGAAGGTTCAAGCCCGGAAGGTACCTACACCTATTGCCCATATATATTACATATTTTTCACTGTTTTTTGTCACGGTAAAATTTTGAAAACCTTGTGGGGGATTGTTGGAATTTTAAAAGGTTTTAAAAATTTAACCGTTTTATTTATTTATTTATTTTGGCTGTTTTATTTTATTTATTGTGGGGGCTATAAATATTTAATATTCATGTTTTATTTCTGGTTGGTGAATGCCTTAATTTTTTGGTTTGTGAACTTTTATGGTTGGTGAAGGTTACATGTTTTTGGATGCCTATAAAAGGTCACTCCTCCTTCACATTTTATATACACACAGTACACCATCAGAATATCACATACCACAATCACCACCATAAACTAATACTCTCCTATTCTACTTTTATATATATTCTCTACTTTATATTATTATTTTGGCAATGGTTCTGTGACTTGGATACCCATATCCGTCTATGAACGTGCTCATAGCGGATCTTGAGTTTATGTAAAAGGGGTCGTATCTTGGAGTCTTGTAGACCGTCAGTACCTGCACGTAGGAAGGCTACAAAGGCTTTAGGACAGCGTCTTTGACGTGCTTCACCGTACCAAACTCACCTTCTTACTTATTATTCATTTTCCTTTTACTTACCTATTATTTTATTTTCTTCAATTTCATTATACCTTAAAAGCTTTCCTATTTATTTATATGTTATCTATAATATAATATTTTTTGTGTTTGGCTTTACGAAAAAGGAAAACTATATTTTGTATATTTTTTATAACAAGGGGTTGCTTTATATAACTTGTAACCAAAAACAATAAAACTTGGGTAACTTTATATAAATCCAATTAGCCAAACTAAAATTGCTTTTTTACTTGGTTAATTTTTGAACATCTAAACTATTCTTTTTGTTTTGTTATTTCTTAAATGTGAACAAATTATTATAAGGAACTAAAATACGACTACATAGTATAACTCGTTTACGTGTTTAATATCAATCAATGATGAGATATTCAAGTTAAGACATAATATCAATAAATATCCACTTATTTTATAATAAATTGTAACATCCCACATCGACCAATGGAGAGGGGGTGATGTGCCTTATATGTACATGCCCACCTCCATCTAGTACGAGGCCTTTTGGGAGCTCACTGGCTTTGGATTCATGGGAACTCCGAAGTTAAGCGAGTTGGGCCTAGAGCAATCCCAAGATGGGTGACCCACTGGAAAGTTGCTCATGAGCGATCCTGGATGTGACAATGCGTAACTTCGGAGTTCCCATGACTTTGAAGCTAGTGAGCTCCCAAAAGGCCTTGTGCTAAATGTAGGTGGGCATGTACATATAAGGCACATCACCCCATCTCCGTTGGTCGATGTGGGATGTTACAAACAAAACATGAAAAATTGCATCTTAACATGGAAATCAATTTTAATATAAATGAACCAGGACATGCAATTTGTTTAAAGATCAAAAAGCAGACCACATATCTCAGTTTCAGCTGCACACATTATTTGAAACCAGCATATCAAACACAAGAATCAACAAAAACATCTAAAGAAGCACATGATTTTATTTAAGGGAGATTTACTATTATACCCAATATAGGAGCCCAAATTATAAAAATACCATATATGAAATGGACTTTAGAAACACACCCAAATCCCATTTACAACATAACAAAAAGGCTTTTAACTTCTTTTAAATTACAAAACTGTCATTGATTTCTTAAAACAAACACAACCCCAAAATCTCATAGAAAAGCCCAAAACACTCAATAGGGTATCAAAATAATTTAATAATCAAAATTAAATTCAATAGAGTCAACTATCATTTTTTGGGTTTGTTTATAGGAATTAAATGGTGTATGATTTATTTATAATATTAGTGCTAAGAATGGATATATGACTAAATATCTCTTTTTTTAATGCATATTTCTTTGATACAAACAGCGATATAATATATGACCATCCAAAGAAAACAAAAAAGGGAATTTCAGTGTACCAAACCCAAAAAGCTAAAGCAACAATTATAGAACAGTGAAAGAGAACTTGGAAGTGCGAGAATTACCTGCAGAAATGCAGCCTTTCTTCAACTTGCAGGGAGAGAGAGAGAGAGAGAGTGAGTGAGAGAGAAACCTAACGCCCGATTTATAATTTGAGATTTGCATATGTCTGGAATGTATGTAAGCCTAGTAAACTAGAAGCAGTTGATCAAACTTTCCATGAATTTAATTTGTTAGGATTTAGCGATGTAAAACATCGAACTAAAATTCAAAAGGCAAAACAAAAGAAACAGTTGTAACATTTGAATTCAGAACAGATTATTTCTTGTTACTTTAGGCACCAATAAAACAGTAACTTCTATTCAATCATTTTTAATGCATTAAGAAGTTACAAAACAATATGCATCATTAGTCAACTAAAATATCTGAAATTTTCTACCATCATTATACATGAGAGATTTTAATAAAATGTGACTCCCCATCATTTATACACTTCTACCAAGCAAGAAGGCTTAGGATGGGAATTGAAGTAACTAATTCTGCATCGGAAGATGCAGAGAAGTAATCCCTCCCAAAGAATTACCCTTTCCCTAATCGCAACTTGAATGAAAGATATCAATAATGACCATCCAACCTGAAACTATGCCATACTTAGTTCTGAAACCACAATATCAAAGCACTATCAATATATTCATATCATTAACATGAAAAAGCACATGTATCCTATATAAATTCATATTATGTCTGGAATGTATGTAAGCCTAGTAAACTAGAAGCAGTTGATCAAACTTTCCATGAATTTAATTTGTTAGGATTTAGCGTTACTCAAAGCTTAAAAACTTTAGGAAGGTGTATAAACTCACCGGTTATTGGATTGCACACAACAACAGTGTCATTGATGAATGGTTTGGAACGGATAACTTCTTTTTCCTTTTCCGAAGTATAGTATGTGTATTCCTAGTCCTAATCAAGTCACACCAACAAATATTCCGTGGTGCAATTCTATCTCTCTGCAACAATTCTGGTTGTCATCATAAACTAATGAATATGGAGCCGAATACATTATCAGAAGCATCAACATATGTTTGTGTGCAAGTTTTGTCTTGTAGAGAGAGATTCCTGCATCTGACTGATAACAGCACAAACAAATTATGCAGAGGACCATTCACATTACCATTCAACCAATTCACTCTTTCCCAATTTTCTCAGTATCTCTACACCCTTTTGGACAATGTCCTAGAATTAGTCCCCTGTAGCAGTGACTCTATAATAAAAGAACTAGTATACAAATAAGAAACAGGTCATGGAACAATAAATTATGCCTGCAAACTACTTCTACATAAACATAGCACAAAAATGTTTAAATCATGTGTTTGCAGCAGCTCCATTTACAACATAATCACGGCGATGAGCCTAAATTGTAGATGATGTGATGCATGAAACCTCGCCCTGCAATTGAGTGAAACTAAAACCTCCGTTCTAATAAGGGAAGAAGCGGAACCTAATTGTTAAGAGCAGGGGATTTGAGAAAATAAGTTATACATAGTTCTGGCATTTATCCATAACTACAATTTAAAATCCATTCCATTACAGGAATTTCCACCACAACAAATGAATGAACTCAGAGTTATATTTTAAGTGGACACAATTTTATTTTATTTATTTTTGTCTGAGTGGACACAACTGTTCAGATTTTTTTGTTTCCCGTTTCAATTTTCTCCTTGTTTAGACCAATATGCTATGCCGTAGTCTTACGACAGTTAAAATGTTGGAAGTCACTCTTTTTTCACATCTGTTCAAACAACTATTCTCTGGATCTGTGAAAGGAACAGATATATTTCATTCATGCCCTAGTCTAAAGAAACAATGATATGCTATATTTCTTTCATATATGAACAGATAAAGACCCAACAAAAAATGAGATTTCCAGTGTACCAAAATTATCAAAACAGAGAACTAAAACAACAAATGCAAAGAAGATACAGAGATTAAAGCCTAACAGCATAAAACAGTGAAAGAGGACTTGGAAGTGAGAGAATTACATGCAGAAATTCAACTTTCAGAGAGAGAGAGAGAGAGAGAGAGAGAGGGAGACCAAACTTGCCAATATTGTCAGAAAATGTACATCAATGAAACAGCAAGACCAAACTGAAAAGGAAATAAAGATCAAAGTGGCATGTTTGTATTACTTGCTTTATATTAGGTACAAAAAATCAATAGAATAATGTATTACAATTAACAATGGTTCATGAAAAAGGCTTTCATAAAATACAACTAAAGGATATGAAACAATAATGCTAAGCTAAGCTAAGCTGCACCCATTATAGCAAAAGTTGATGGTTTTGGGTTTGGAACCACATGCCTTGACATGAGCTTCAGAGGAAGAATCTCCTGCTCAGAAAAACCAACATTTTCTTGAGCCATTTCCTCTGCATCTTCATACTTCCAACTTCCAAGGGGTATGAAGCTAGGACAATCCGGAACAGAGGAAGCCACTGCTGAAGACACTTGCTTAATTGGTTTAACCTCTCCAACCCCATTATCCAGTTTAGTCACATTGCAAGAAATTTTAGCCTCTTTTGATAACCAACCAGGAATGGCAGGAATTCTTGAAGCAAGCAGGGCAGTTAACAAGTCCCGAACATCAAATACGGCGCCAGGTGTGAAATCCCATGGATGCCTCCCAGTTAACATTTGCAGCACAACACAACCTAACGCCCAAATATCAGAAGGCTGCTGTTGAATTCCATAAACCACAGCTTCTGGAGACAAATACATTGGTGTGCCTCCAAAGGAAGGCTTCTCCCACTTCTGATTTGCCTTCTTTATGAGCCCCAAGTCTCCGATTTTAGGCACAAAACGAGCACCACCAGAGGAACCAGCGGTATCAGACACAAGCAGAATATTCTCAGGCTTGAGATCACAATGCACAAAACCCCTGTCGTGGATGTACTTAATCCCTTTCAAAATCGACTCAGTATACTTTCTGACTTGGAATTCACGCAACCCAAAACCCCTTGATTTCTCAATAAAATCCGCCATTGTTCCTCCATCCGCGTACTCCAAGAACACATTGAATAAATGACGGCCATCAGCGCCAATCGTCTAAAGAAGAATATCTTCCCCCATCAGATCATGCGCCTGAGAGGCCAATGTCGATTTCAAGGCCACAATCCTCGGCACAACCTGGGTTTTTTCACGAAACCCAAATAAACCGACCCGAATCCGCCTTGGCCGAGCATCGGCCCTCGAACCCACTCGCAGCCACTTAGTGAAACTGTCAAGTAATGATCTGCAACATCTGCAGAATCGTCAAGCAATGACATGCATTACTATTTCTCATCATATTTGAAAAGTAGTTTGTTGAGTATCACTTGTCAATGAATGTTTACCAACTTATCAAGTAAACAATTTACTTAATTGAATTGACGGTATTAATGGAATTGACGGATCTGGAATGGGGGTATGCCTAGGTGGAGAGAGTTCAGTTTTGAGATATTCTTAAACTAAAATAAAGGAATTTCAGTGTATAGCATATTTATATTCAGTATATGATTGATACGAATATTTGGAAGAACTACGTGTGACTTGATCCCTTGTTAAGGGTATGTAGGCAGCCTAGAGTTAATAGGTGCAGCAGCAAGGTCAAGTAATAAAAAGGTAGTCCAGTTAGGTTATTATGATAGGATGCTTGATTTTTGGATATAATTCGATACATGCTGGCAGTTGGGTTATATATAAATATATATGCTTGTTTTACAGGTAGAAATTTTTGGGAAATGTTCAATTTACAGGGGAGACTCTGCCGAATTTTCGGCAGAAGTCGCACTAGAATTTCATTGAATATTGGTTAGAAGGGCAATTTGGCCAATTGTGCTCTGCAACTGCCAGGTGTCGGACACGCACAGGATTCGACTCGGATTCCAAAGTGGAATTTGGGTCAGGTCTTGTCAGAAGAAGTGAAAGAGGATGTGGGTGTTTTAAGTGGGTTGATGGTGAAATGTGTGAGCATTCAAAGATAGTGATACGTGATTTGCTCAAGAAGGTTGACAAATTAGAAGTTGAAAATGCAAAGATTCAAAGAAAGTGTAGAATTTTGTGGGTTGTTGTGCGATGTTTTTGATAGCTACGTACCACATCTCAATGATTCATCCTCTATACAAATATACATACTACCCTTACTCACTATGGAAATATTACTTCCCTACTTTGTGTTGTATTCCACAGAATTTAGTAATTTAATAATCAACATTAAATTCAACATGGTTATTAGAAATAACAACAAATGAAACTAAAGTTATAGCCAACAGTAGTCAGGTTCGACCTATATGCTTTACATTAAAAATAACAATTCTTCATGTCATTAAATAAATAAAAAACAATACTTAAAAAGTCAGAGAAAATAAAAATAAAAAACAAAATAAATGGGAAAAAAGTTTACTCATTCACCACATTAATAATCGCTCTCCTCTCTCTCTCTCTCTCTCTCTCTCTCTCTCTCTCTCTTTTTCTCTTTCTCTCGTCTTTCACAGGTAAGAAAATACATTTGAGAATTAAATAATTAATAAAATGAATGGTTGATGGAGTCTGAATCAACAAATGCGTACATATTTTTTTTGGAATCTCCTTATAAATACCCACCTCGCAGCTCATGCCTCGCTTCCATTTTCTCCATATCTCCTTGTCTAAATTTGTGAGAAAGAAAAAGAGCTAAGAAAAGAAAACCCAAAGGGTAGAAACCTCTGTTTCTGTCCTTAATTATCATCATCCATGAGCTTAACTAGCTAGCTAGTTGTTGTTGTAGTACTAGACTAGTAGTATTGCACCAAGTTTTCATTTCATATGTTTCTTGCTTCAACTTTTTTGTTCATGATCAAGCAAATAGAGAGTAACTCAAGTACTGGGCCTTTAACTAATTAATTAGCTCCTTGATTGATCTCTTTGTGCTTGATTCAGCATACAACTATGGCCTATGAAAACAAATCCATGTCTCTGGACTCTCCCCAAAGAAAATTGGGTTGGGGAAAGATCAGGGTCAAGCGGATCGAAAACACAACAAACCGTCAAGTCACCTTCTGCAAAAGGCGCAATGGGTTGCCCAAGAAGGCCTATGAACTCTCTCTACTCTGTGATGCAGAGGTTGCTCTCATAGTCTTCTCTTTATGAGTATGCCAACAACAGGTATTGCTTTAAAGTTCCTCTTAAAAGTTTTTTCTTTGCAAAATTTGTTGGTGTTTCTGTGTTCAAGATTTTTGCTTCTGCAGTAGATCTTTGGGTGGATTTAAGCAGGAAAACATAATCATTGTAATGGTACTCAGTTGAGTTGAGATTGAGTTCTTTCTCTCTCTATCTCTCTAACTTAATTATAAGATTCACTTGTCTTTCTTTCTTATCTTTTGTTTTTTTTTTCTTGTGTGTGCTTTTAATGGGTATTCTTATTTATTTTTCTTTTCTGTTTATGATCATTTTCTTAGCTCTTGGTTTGGTGCAAACATAGATCTGGTCTAATAGATAGGAAAAGAAGCATATCATGGAAGTAAGGCCTCTGAAATCAGCTCCTTACCTCCCTCCATTGTTGTTAATTTTCTGTTTCCCCTCTCTCTCTCTCTCTCTCCCCTCTTTCTTTCTCTGCATGACTCTATGTCATCTATGAGGCTAAGAAGACCTACAACACACAAGCTGTCATGCTCCCCATTAGCCCAACCACCAATCTCCTTGACACTTCGTCAGTTATAGACATCAGGAAAGTAAAAGTAGAATTCAATATATAAAATAAAAATGACAAGACCTTCTCTGAAAAAAAGCACATATTAGGGTGCCAATACTGTTGAGATTTGGATTGGCAAGAGAGCTCGTGGGAAGGGAGAGAGAGAGAGAGAGAGCTAAGAAGAGAAAATCAGAAATTGGAAATATTCTCAGATGTGATCTACAGTACTTTTGCAGAGATCACACTCTTTTGTATATATTCTCATTCTCTCATTACATCAGTCGATTAATTCAATTACAAGAGCCAATGTGGATATGACACATGGCAGCACAAGGCCTAAGAGCCGTTGGAAAATAACCGACTGCTTTACACCTTACACTTGGCATATTAGCTCAAGTCACTCAACTTAACATATTGCTTAAAAAAACTAAGAGAGAAACAGACTTAGTAAATTACTAACTAACCAGAAATTAGCTAGTCAATTTACAATTCAACACTCCCTTTTAAATTGCTAGCTGATTTCACACCAAGTAGGTTCCTTAAATAACTGAACCTCTCCTTGGGAAGTGCCTTGGTGAAAATATCAGCAATCTGTTCTTCACCTCTGCAGTAGACCAGATCAACTACTCCTTCTTGAATTGCATCTCTGATGAAATGAAACTTCCTTCGAATATGCTTGCTTCTTTGATGAAATATAGGATTATTAGCCATTGCTATGGCTGAAGTGTTGTCACAAAATATAGTAGTTGCAGCAGCTTGTTCTTCTCCAAAGTCTTCAAGAACAAATCTGAGTCAAATGGCCTGTGATGTTGCCTCTACTGCACTCACATATTCTGCCTCTGCTGTGGAAAGAGCCACACTATGCTGCTTAACTGAAGCCCATGAGAAAGCTCCACTTCCAAATGAAAAAGCATAACCTGAAGTGCTTTTCATATCTTCCTCAGATCCACTCCAGTCACTGTCACAATATCCAATCAATAAAGCAGATTTTCCAGTCCCATACTCAATTCCAAAATCAATGGTTCCCTGAATGTATCTTAGAACCCTTTTAGCAGCTCCATAGTGTTTCTTAGAAGGGTTGTGCATGTATCTTGCAAGCAGACTAGCAGGAAACATGATGTCAGGTCTGGTTGCAGTTAGATATAGAAGACTTCCAACAATTTTCCTGTATAAGCCTTCATCTGCAGCCTCAACTTCCATCATCTCTTTGCAACTTATCAGTAGCAACTAAAGGAGTGCTCACTAATTTGCAGTCTTTGATCCCAAATTTATCCAAGAGAGTGAGAGCATACTTCTTTTGATGGATAAAGATGCTCCCTTCAGTTTGAGTTACTCCCATTCCAAGAAAGTGATGGAGTAGACCTAAATCTGACATTTCATACTTGCACATCATCTCTGTTTTGAACTCTTTCATCATATCTGCACTACTCCCTGTGTAGACTATGTCATCTACATAGATGGACACAATCAAGGTACCAACTCCTTCTTTCTTCCTCACATATAAAGTTGCTTCACTTGAGCTTCTATGAAAGCCACAGTGAATGAGATAGGTATCAATCTCACTATACCAGGCCCTTGGTGCTTGTTTCAGACCATAGAGAGCCTTTCTTAGTCTATACACTTTGTCTTCAGCTTCTTTAACCACAAAGCCATCCGGTTGATCAACATAAACTTCCTCTTCGAGAATACCATTCAAGAAAGCTGATTTGACATCCAATTACCACAGATTCCAGCCTTTCTGTGCAGCTAGTGCAATAAGAGTCCTAATAGTATCCAACCTTGCCACAGGAGCAAAGGTTTCATTGTAGTCAACTCCTGGTTTTTGTGTGTAACCTTTGGCTACAAGTCTGGCTTTGTGTTTTTGAATGGAACCATCAAGGTTCAGCTTGGTTTTGTAGACCCACTTTACTCCCACAATCGGTTTGCTGCTTGGTCTGTCAACCAATTCCCAAGTGGAATTCTTTTCTATCATTGATATCTCTTCAGTCATAGCCTTTTTCCAAGCTTCATCTTTGACAGCTTCACTGAAACTTTCAGGTTCAATGATGCTCATCTTGCATTGAGCATACACTTCATTCAAACTTTTCCATTTCCTTGGAGTATGATCATAGATTTCAAGGTTTGAGGTTGTAGAATCATGTGAAACTGATTCTTGGACAGTTTGCAAATCTGTACTTGAGAGTGATTGCTGTAAGTCACTTGGTTATGAAACCAAGTCAGATGTTTGTGAACTTGATTCATCAGTCCAGGGCACAGAGATATGCACTGCCTCATTTGTTTCCCAATTCCACATTGTTCCCTCATCAAAAATGACACTTCTAGACAACTCAACCTT